GTTGTTGTTGTTGTTGTTGTGATTGGTTGCATAGTCAGCCAGATATTTAGATTGGGATGATGATGATGATGATGATGATGATGATGATGATGATGATGATGATTTTCTGAGTGTGGGATGATGGCTGGAGTAGTCAGAATTACAAAGCAAATGTATCCGTTTTGCATAAGGAATCTGAAGCTGAAGGATGGAATGGGCAGTAGAAAACTGTAATTAAGTAGCCAAAAAAACAATTAATGGAAGATCTACTAAGGATCTCCTTCAGTCTTTCTTCCTTTCTTCCTCTCTTCCTCCCTTCCTCCCTTCTTCTCTCTCTCTCCCATCAAATATGAGCAGTCTACACAAGGGACAGGATAAAATATTCAGATTCAAAACAGACTATATCTCAAACATACTATTTTCTCAGTGGGGCCAACTGGTACTTTGGGGATATGTGATCTGGAACTGGAACACAGGGCAGAGAAAAGGATTTAACAACTTTTCCTCCAGAAACCTAAGACAATGCTGGAGGGAATGTCCATTTTTCATTAGCATATTTGACACAATCCCTCCTACTTGGCTTCTGAAAACATCAGTTCAGACTTCTTTTCCAGTGAAAAAAAAAAGAAATAAGGAATGCATTCAAATTCCCTGTATTGTCAATACACACTTGTAATACTTTCACTATCTTATCATCCATCAGTTCAACTGCCCCTCTAGCTGGTTTCCCAATAATGATTTCAATAATATGTCAATAATTATTGATTATGTACACTCACATGCACATGGTAATAATGCTAATTATGACTACATAGAATTGAATGGTAGGTGTGTTGTACTTGGGCTGCAAAAATTCAGATGACCCACTAAATATCTGCTTTCTAGTGGCTATTAGGATTTTTTGCAGCCCATATACGGAATCCCTATGCAATGTGTTTTCCCCATTCTCCCCTACCACCACCAATTGCCAAGAAGCAAGGAAATTTGGTTCAAGATGAACACACTCTCATGTTGGTCATCTGAGCCTAATAATTCCTTGTTTTCATTCTTTCATTTTCACCCCAAAGAATTGCTAGGCAAGTTATGCATTTGAATACCATAAAGGCTTTTTATCTACTAGGCTAGCTATGGACAATCTTGCTTAGATAGTACTGGAGCTTTTTTTCTCTCTCTTTGAAGAAAATTTGACATCAGGAGTACCTGGTGCATCTAGAGTCATCATTCCTGAGACTGCAAAGGCCCTCCTCCCACCTCCAAGAAGGTAACTCTGGGTTTGATTTTAAATCAAGAGCCACTATCCAGGGTAAAATAAGTGTTGCATTTTCTGTCACTGTTCATAAAAGGGATAAATTTTAGGGCTGGGCAGGTATGTCCTTTCTTCAGATTACCTGGAAGCTTTGAAGGCAGCCACACAATTCTGGAAAAAAGCAAAGTTCTCTGATGCTGTTGCCAACAGGTATTATATTTGCACTCACAGGTGCTTTGAGGCCCAGTTTGCACAGCCCCTTTAATTTGTCATTCTTCATAAAAGCAGTTAAAGCAAATGTATCCGTTTTGCATATGGAATCTAACAGTGAAATGTCATTTTATATATATAAAATCACAAGTGGTTACTAACACAAGTAAAAAAGAAAACTTAAGGCTGCTGCAACTAGGTAGGCAGGACCTATTATTTACACTAGTATTCCCAAAACTGGGACCCCAGTCTTCCCATCCCTCCTGAATTGACAGAGGAGTGAGATGACAGATATTGCACAGTGTGGCTCTCCTTATAGAGGAGGGACAGTTTCAGAGCATCAGTTGGTAGATCCCCACCGAGCATCATTTACTGGCAATAAAAGCAACTACCATTCACTCTCTAGAATATGTGGTGGAAGAGAGACTGATAGTCCCATGTGAGGGGGAAAAGGAAGGGGAAAAAACCTTACCACGCTTGCCCCAAACACCAACCTGTCACTCACAACTGTGCACGGTCCATCTCACTCTCCCTCAGTTCAAACCCACCACCACCAATCAGCCAGGGGAAAATAATTCATACGATTGTCACTCTCTATTGTCCCCATTTCTTGCATCTAGCATCTTGCATCGTTCTGCTGGGAAATGAACAAGAAAGTCCACTTCTTTCTCCAGCTGCTTTGTATTTCCTGAGCTCAGGACCAGAAGTGGGGTGAAATGAGGAGAGGGATAGAAAGTGGACAGGGCCCATGTGTATGAAAAAGATAGGAGGAGAGCAGAGAAAGAGAAAGAGAGCGAAAGATGCAGAAAATAGAAAATAGACTGGAATCAGGCAGAAGACAGTTCCATTTCAGTATCCTTCTAACTTCATCAGTATCCTTCTAACAAGAGTAATTTTTCCCCTCCACTTATTGAATATTAACTCCTTATGAGAATTTGCTTCCCTGAGATCTTTTTTGCTGGTTGGAAGGTAATAGCTGCCCCTGTTTCCCCCATGTCAGGCTGCAGTCCTGTATCTACTTGTCTGTATAAGAAGAGCTGTAAGAATCCACAATACCTCTGGAGCAAAGCATCTATGATTCTTTTGTTGTAGGGCTATTGATCTCTTTTCTCCTATCAGGAAAAAAAAATTGATATGCCTGTTTCCAACATGCCAGCAAAAATAATTTTTATAAGTTATCAGAAGAACCTGTTTGAAATACAAAGCAGAGAAGCTCAAATCGCAGAACTCTCAGAGCTGTTGTGTCTCTAGAACTTTTCTTTCTCCAGCTTGAATTTCCCCAACAATTTGTTTTTTGTAAAGCAAAAATGTGGAATTCTCCCATCCCCCATTCCACATTTGTGTGTGCATCTATGTCATATGCTTTCCTATCTACCCATACATATAGAAGTAGCACATTGATTGTGGTCCCACCCAGCAAAATAATCTATCAAACTCCACTGGATTATCAATATTTCCATGTTAACCCCCAAAATCCTAGCTGAGAATCTGTCAACTTCTGGGAGATCAATATTTCCCATCACCAGTAAAATCACTGAGGTGCCTACATTGTCTGCATAGTAAGTTTTGTATCAGGAGAAGAAAAACACTGCTTTCGCACTAGAACAACTAAAAATATTTTAGACTGCCTCAGCATCATGCTAGGGATAAAACAAGGTGCAATCATGAGGATATGTTCCTTAAAAATGGTTATCAAGGCATCTTCAGGCCATGGTAAGCAGGACATAAGAAGGAAAGGTCTACTGGAATATTTATTGTTAATAAACGATTGAGTTCAAAAACGTGTGGAATGCTGACTACTCTTTCATTTTTCAGTCACACATGTGAAAAAGATGTTAAATACATATAGATATTAGGGGTACGTAGATCAGGCAAAATTATGTTCAGATCATTAAATTAGTTTAGAAAATTGGCCCAGTTCAGATGTTCAGATCAAATCTTCCAGTTTGATTTGCTAAAGGAGATTAAACTGGGTAAGCAAACATCCCACCTTCAAGGCTGAGATTGAAAAGGTTCCTTATTTACTAAAGTTCAGGTGATGTAGATAGCCATGGAAAATACGGTATTGCTGATTGGAGGTGGAAGTTGCAGACAAGTAATCATCATTATTTTGTTTTCAAAACGCTTGTCCCATCATTTATTTCACATACCCAAAGCAGCTTATAAAGATTTGGTTAACAGGACATTCCTGTACACGCCTACAGTTTTGCTTTGAAGCAAGGTCCACTGACTTCAATGGGAGCTATTCCAGGATACCTTGATATAGGATTACAAGCATCGGCAAAGTCATTACTGAGGCCACAGGATAGTTAAAGAATGTATTTCTCTGTATTGCTTGATTACAATTTTATCAATTACAATTACAAGTTTATTAACATCTTCATCCAGAAAATGGATCACCAACCACCCATCTTAGCTACTGTTCAAATGATTTGGAATTCCACCCTAAAGGCTAATACTAGACCCATGCTCAACCCATCCTCCTCAAAAGAGGAGGAGGGTTGAACAAGCTAAAAGTATGCCAACTGACTGGGTTAATCATTCCTGTGGAAGCCAGAAAGAATACAGGAACTCCTAGCTGCAGGTGGGGGAAAAAACATACACATATAGATTGCATATTGATCAAATGTACTTGGGCTTAAGAAGGATCAGCATGATGGGCTATGCAGAAGATATTAGGATGATTGGGAAAGAAAAAATCTCAATAGCTGGATTGATTTGACCAAGCAGTAGGCTTAGAAACAGGGAAATGGGTAGCTTGAAAGGAAGTAGAAGTTAAGTTACATTTACTCAGCAAGTTTCGTAACTATCCCAGGAGGCAAATACCCAGATCTGGCAGGATTCCTAGGACGAATACGCCCTTCTGGGGCGTATGTATATATATACCAGCATCCAAAGCCTGAGTTGCCTAAACTATGCTTCTTATTTTGGAAGAGTGCCACATCTTACCTTTTTTGTGTATGAGTGAAAAGAAGGAAACAAAGAAGTCAGCAGTGGTATTATGGGTTACCAAGGACCAGGGCCAGGGAGAAGATTGCTGCTACTGATGCTCCTGCAAATTTTGACAAGTAAGTGTTGATGGACTTCCTGCACAAGCAAATGTTTCTCACCAATGAGAGATGGGTCAGACCCAGCAATGTGCAGCATCCTAGATTAAATGCCAAAATTCCATCAGGGCTTAGTATTTGCATGTGGATCTTCTCTCTTCTCTTCTCTTCTCTTCTCTTCTCTTCTCTTCTCTTCTCTTCTCTTCTCTTCTCTTCTCTTCTCTCCTGTATTCTACTCTATTTTACTCTACTCTTTTCTTTGCCTGGCAAAACGCAGTACTAGGCATTGCTAAATTTTCAGCAGCACCAGTATGGAATGCATTTAGAACAAGGTGTACAATTTCTTTTCTTTTGGGGGGGGGGGAAGGTGCAGCACTGCCAGAATGTGGCTGGCAGGCTGGGCAACAGATGTGAGCAGTACAACAACTAAATTTGATTTCATTTCAGTTACATTTCTATTTAATGAAAAGAACATGTGGGACATATGATTACTCTCTGGGCATGTTTTTAATCATTCTCTTAATTCATCACAGTCCACATTCCAATTAGAATCAACTTTAGGAAGCCTTCAGGAGCTTTTAAGGGCAATTATAGCTTTGTCACTTCACGGTGCGCCCTTTTGGTTTAAATGGCAACTCCAAGCTTCCTGCTGTCACCATCATTACTAAATAAGGAGGGAGCTTAATTTAGGAAGGAGCCCATCAGATGGCACCCCCATTATAAGACGAAGTTCAATGATATCTTAGAAGAAACTTTGTCTGGGAGGAGCTGGCTTTGGGTCATGCAAGGACAGGCCTAGGGCACAAGTGAGGTATCACTGGGTGATGATGTCTGTTGGGTTAGGTTTGCCAGACATGTCAATGTTCTACAGTCTGCTATCCAAAAAGAGAGAACTTTAAAAAGAAGGTGTTTCCCCCAGTGAGTCAGCCTGGCCCTCAGATAATGAATTTGTGACAGTACTCAACTTCTGTGGACTTTCCTATTGTTCTGTTTTGACATTGACATTGACTAAACCGTGTTGCTTTAAATTGAACCATCCTAAATCCAAACATCTTGACAGCTCTGATTTAAGATCCTAAAGCCGCTGGGTGAGATCATCCATCAACATGGGGTGATATATCATCTGTATGCTGATGATACCCAATTATACATCTCTGCCCCAGAGAATTAAGCAATGCTGTTAATATTGTCTCTTAATGTCTGGAGACTGTGGGGGTCTGGATGGGGAACAGCAGGCTTCAGCTCAACCCTGGCAAGACTGAGTGGCTTTGGGTTTTGGGCCTTCCAGATCCGGGATTTTACATTTTTTGTGCTGGATGGGGATGCACTGCCCAAACAGACCCTATGAGCAATCTGGGGGTCCTTCTGGACTCACGACTCCTGCTTAAAGAGCAGGTGGTAGTTGTGGCTTGGAGGGTGTTTGCACAACTTGGTGTTGGGTGCCAGTTATGCCTGTTCCTGGATTGAGAGGCTCTACTCTCTGTTACTCATGCCCTGGTCACTTCCTGAATGGACTCTATAACACGCTGTACATGGGGCAAAAACTTCAACAAGAGCAAAATGCAGCGGCGCAGGCAGTTATGGGCACTCCTCAATCAGTGCATATTATACCTCTGCTCCATGGGCTGCATTGGTTGCCAGTTTGCTTCCAGGTTCAATTCAAGGTGCTGGTTTTGACCTTTAAATCCCTATGTGGCATGGGGCTGAGTTATTTGAGGGACTACTTCTCTCCAGTTACATATACCCATCCCATCAGGTCCAGCAGGATGGGCATATTACGGGTCCTGTCTGTTAAGGAGTTTCATCTGACAGGACCCAGAAGGTAAGCCTTCTCTGCCATGGCATCCGCCCTATGGAATATCATCCCCCCCCCCCAAAGTGAGATTGGCCCCGACCCCATTGACTTTCTGGAAATCTCTTTAAATCTGGTTTTGTCAGCAGGCATGAGCACCCCATGGAAATAGGGATCTTGAGAAATGGTTATAGTATATGTAAGACCTTGAATGTACTCTCCCATGGTTTTGTTTATGTTTTTAATGGTTTTCAAGGCTCTGTTTTTAATTGTTTTGATTGTATGCCACCACCCAGAGTTATATCCATGAGACAGTCAACTATATACATTTTATAAATAAATGAAATAAATAAAGTAAGTAGGCTAAATACAAGTGATATCTAGACTGGAGTTTCCAAATTATTTCTATTGTATTAAAATAGCAATCTAAGCTGTAACTCTCATGATTTTATATATCTCTTTCTTTTAGATGTTGAACCAAGCCATGTCCCTAGAGGTGAGCATCAGTTATATTTGCTTGCTTGTTAGCAGGCTGTTTATTAGAAAGTTTATCCTATTAAATACCAAAATATAGGAAATTAGGTGAACAAATATTATTTTTGCTACAGTGTTCAATGAAATATAGCCATCTAGAAACTATAAAGTAGAAATTGTGGCAGCGCCGTATCTTAGTTCAGTTAAAGCTGAGAAAAGATTGAATATTGTATTTGCTAGCATCAAACTCATTTACAGAATGTTATTAGTCAGATAGTCCGTGTACACCAATAGAGCATCACCAGGTTCAAGAGGTACAAGAAAGTTTCAAAAAATGCATACAAACGTTGGAGGAACCTAAAGAATTCTTTAAGGAATGTGAAGGAGAGTTGGATCCTGCCTAGAGAAGACTGGATTCTTGGAAGGAAAACAAGACACGAGGAGGACACCTGGATTTTCCTGGATTGGCAATGTGGAAAATAAAGGAAAAGTGGGTGGGTGGGCGAATAAAAAACAGATTGCGGGTGAAGGTCTTTGGCTGAGCACAGCCAGAGGAGAGAGCCTAAAGGGGAAGTAAAAACTAAAACAGAGAAAAAATGGAGACATGGAGCAAGGAGGAAGAGAGCTGGTGGACAGAAAGAGGAGGTTGGCCACAGAGCAGCAAAACTGCTTAGAAGTTAATTCATCCCTTTTAGATTTCAGCTCTTTTTAAAATTCCAAGCTGATAGGAGAGTAACAGTCATCCAGGAAATACCATGTAATGCTACAGCAACAGTGAATCCTTCCTAATAATTCCTTTTTGCTCAGTCTGTGGAAAGCAGGGATTTCTGAGCCGGATTGTAGGGGGTAAAGATTCCCGGGATGGAGAATGGCCTTGGCAAGTGAGCATCAAGTTGAATGGGGAGCATCATTGTGGTGGTTCTCTGGTCACAGATCGGTGGATCATCACAGCCTCACATTGTTTTAATCAGTAAGTATGCACTCGACAACCTGCAGGCCAACACCTTTCAATCCTGTCCCTTGGGGAAACAAAATTCTTGGTAGATTTTCATAGCAGTCTTCCAAGCCCTCCCAAGTGCCCTCCCAGCCAGCCTGGGAACTTGCAGACAGTCTTCTAAAGCAGACTCCTTATTTAATAAAGGCTGTCAGATCTATATGGTAGACCATCCTAAGGAACAGACACCATGTAGATCTAAAGTGACTTATATTAGAACAGTTGTAGTAACAGAATCTTACAAGTCTGAAGGTGCTTCCCTTCCTCCCTCTTTTAGCTTCATGTGAATTTGGGCAGGGGGATGTCTGAGCCATTTTTTATAAAAGACTTCTTGGCCTGGGCTCAAGCATGGTTTATCTGATTGTTGCATTGGTAACAGATCTTTTCTCTTCAAGGCCATCCTCTCTATTCACTACATTAGCATCTACTAAGGAAAAAAAAAACTGAATTTCTTCCTATTCATACTTTTTTTTTTTTTTTGTGGTGGGGAGGCTTTGAGTCAGTCTTCACACCTGGTGACTGCCTGGACAAGTCCCTGTGGTTTTCATACATTTTTAGGGCAATTATATTAACTAAAAAGATAAAGATGCCCTCGAACTAAACTTGACTCCTGCACTTTTCCAGGTGACACTATAGAAGTGGTTAGCCATTGTCTTTTTCTAATTTTTTTTTTAACTTCTCAGACTAGCCTCTAATCCTGCAATTTAATGTAGTCTTCCATCCAAGTACCAACTAGGCCCCACACTGCTTAGCTTCTGAACCCAGAGAATTTCAGCCACATTCTGAACTTGCAAAATTCACTGAATTGATTTCAACCTGCATTTGAATCAGTTTGACATGAAACTGAACATTTGCTCATAACTCATTTATACTCTATAGAGGTGAAGAAACAACTCAAGAAAGTCTTTTCCTTCTTATTTTTGCAATCTTTTGCTCACCATTGAGAGACGTTTTTCATTTTGTATCATTTTTCCTTGCTGGTTTTATTGTTCCTTTTCATCATTTTTTTTTTTCTTATACAGCTAGGATTTAAAACAAAAAACAAAAAATTAAGAATACTATAAAAAACACAAATCCAGTTGATCAATAGTAGAAACTTTCCATACTTGAAAATACGTATATTAAATGTATACTTTTTGTTGAGGATCTCTTCTGGATTTTGATTCAGTGCTACAGCTCATCTTGTTCGGCACCAAAAATATAGCCATCTGTCCCACACAGATTCTCTCTCTCTTTCTCTCTATTTGTGCCTTTCAGGCTCAACAATCCTTCTAATTTTACTGTACTAGTTGGAGCACTGAAGCTTTCAGACCCAGGGCCTCATTCCATCATAGCCTCTGTGGGGCGCATTATCCTCAATCCCACCTATGAAGGGGATTTGAGGACTGGAGACATTGCCCTCATCCAGCTGGAGCAGCGACTGCCTCTCTCCCGCCATATCAACCCCATCTGTGTCCCCAGTGCCAACATCAACTTCCTCCCAGGACACACGTGTTGGGTCACTGGCTGGGGGAACATTCAATCCAAAGGTAGGCGTGGAAAGAAAAGTGAACCTACAGAATTTCTACTATATATAACAGTCTATATTTTGTCTGTTTGGGCACCTCTGTGATATGTGATATGATTTCATCACCTGTAATCCCCCACTCTCGTGGTTCACAAGTGGTTAAGTCTAACACATTTGGAGAACATCAACAGAGACTTTTTTTTATTATTGTTACTATTGTCTTTCTTATATCTACCTAGCTTTCACTACCTAGCTGAGGGTTTTTCTGAAAAACGAAAGTACTGGATTCCAGTGCTTCATCATTCAATCTCTTACGAACAAGGCAAAATTCTTAGTTACTCTGTTATTTTAGTAGCAATGTTCAAGGGAAGGCCTAAAACTGAAGTGCAAAAGGGCAAATAAGAACAGTATTTTTGTTTTTAAAATGGTTGCATGTATTTTCATATATGTGCATTTTTACATACATAAATTTAACTTTACTTTGTATAGATATAATTTTATACATAAGTAAATGTGTATGTGTGTGTGTGTGTGTGTGTATTACACAGACACACAAGGATGTATGTAAAAAAAAAAAAGACCCACCCAGGAAGGAAAGCAACTGGTTGATGTTCTCCTGGAACAGACAGGTGGGTGGGCAGAGAAACAATGGGCTTGTCCAGTGGGGGACATGGTAGTCTGCAGTCTGGACTGCTTAAGCTTAAATTTTCTTAAGCTGATTTAGACAAGCTGCCTTCTTAAGCATAGGAAAGGAACAGCTTAAAGAATAAATGCTGATATACCTAAATCACTTTTCAGTGGACTATCTAAACCAGTGTTGTCCAAACTTGACCACTTTAAGATGAGTGGACTTCAACTCCCAGAATTCCTCAGCCAGACATGCTGGCTGCGGAATTCTGGGAGTTGAAGTCCATTCATCTTAAAGTGGCCAAGTTTGGATAACACTGATCTAAACTCACTTCTCAATCGAAGGTATGGATGGGCTTTTGCCAGAGCCCGCTTTGACACACACACACACACACCCCTCAGGCCATACCTGTTGGCAGGTACAGAAACATACTACCCAATAAAAAACTCTGCCCATCTCACTCAGGAGCAGTAGAATTGATTGAAATGTATGCTTTATAGAGAGAATCAGATAAGGTCATGGTAGCCCATCTTTACCAACATTTTAAAAAGGCTGCCCTGAGAAATTTTATTTTCTTCACCTACTATCTAATAAAGGCCCAAAGGTGCATATACAAAATTTTGTTGAAAAAATGTTATGCAACAGCAAGGATTTGCAGCAGTGTGCGTTCTCTTAGGGAGTGCATTGATGCTAATTTTTTTTTTCTTCCTAGTGTTTTTCCCGCAGGTGCAGGGTCTGCTTTTTTTCTGATCAACTAAATGTTGATCCAGGAATTGACCTACTTGGCTTGTCGCCCAAGCCTGACGTTGTGGGCTGAGAGACAGTGACTGGCCCAAAGTCACCCAGCTGGCTTTCATGCCTAAAGCGGGACTAGAACTCCCAGTCTCCTGCTTTGTAGCCTGGAGCCTTAACCACTAGACCAGACTCATTCTCCAGTGTTGATGCTGATAAAGTACATTATATAATAGAGTAGCTATTAGCCATTATGCTTTATGGATGTTTTATGTACATGTACTACCGTATAAGACTGTAATAAAGTACTGACTTACTTCAGCTACTATAGTCTGGATCCAGTCTTAGTGTCAAGCTAAATTCTGACTATTCAACTGGTTGTTTGCAACCTAATATCCCACAATTGCATTAGCCACAATTTCCACATCCTTGTCAGTAAGGCTGCAGTCTAGTGGATCTGGAGGATAGCAGGTTGGAGAAAGATTTGTTAGATCAAGAATTAAGATCACCTTAAGTTATATAACAATCAGAAGGGACATTCCATTTGCAAACCTTAGTCTCTAGGAAGATTGTAAAGCTTTTCCACTGGTTTTTAAAGTTCTTATTGTGTCCCTTTAAATTAAATCTCTTAATTTCCTCTCCTTGCAGAAGGACGACAGAGCTCTGATATTCTACAAAAGCTAGAGGTTCCCATAATCAGCACGAACAAATGCAACGCTCTCTACCACCAGGACTCTAAACAGCCCAGGGCCACACGAGAAATTAAAGAAGATATGATATGTGCTGGCTTTGCAGCTGGACAACGGGATGCCTGCCAGGTAAGACCATGTTCGGCAGCTCATGAGGTTTGGGCACCCTCTTCATTTGCTACCAAGATTTAATTGCAGAATAATGCTAGTAAGGCTATTTGGGCTGCAAAACTCTGTATGATCATCAGACAACAGCCAAGAATTAGTGTTGCCTTTGCTGCCATCTGGTGATTATCCTGATTTTTGAAGCCCAAATGTGGTAACCCTGCTCCTCCTTATCTGAAAGACTGGAGAATAAGACATTCATGAGTGAAAAACACCCAGATATATATTTAAGACTTAGGGGTAAACCTCCCTTAGACAAATTTCAGAAATAATTGGGAAGTTGATTTGCCTTTTTTGAAATCCCATTTTCCATATCTTTCCCAGTGTCTTGCTTAGTGACAAAATGTACTGAGATACTTGTGTGTGTAAGTGTGCACATACATAAACACACACACACACACACACACACCTCAGTATAGAACGGATTATCTAAATTCAGGAAAATAGAGGGAACAGAGGCAAAAGTCTCCATAAAAGCAGGGTGTCCTTTCTGCTAAAGATTTTGTGTGTTTCTTCCAGGACTCTCAAAAGTATGTTGCTTTCCTCTAGCACAATATTTATACATACATACATACTGTACATACATAAGCATTATTCTGCAATTAAGGGTAAGTAATATTATGCAGGGCACAGAAAAAGAGTAAGAACTGATAGGCCAAAGTAATCAAAGGCATGACATAATTAAAAAAAAAAGGAAATGTTGAAATTAGTTTATACTAATACTATTTATTAAACATATCCATATTCTATCTTCGCAAACTTCTTGGCTTCTATACCATGCCCATACACCGATTCACACATTGTTGTTTGTGCTTTCTCTCTCCCTTCCTTTCAACCCATTCACCCCTCTTTCATATATACGTTTTATAATTCAATCCTCATTCATTCTCTTTGTATGGCCATACCATAGCAATCTACTTCTTTCAATACTGGTCAATCACTTTTATATTCAATACACATTCAACCCCTATTGATTCTTCACCCTAATTCTTGTTTTATCCCACACAGTACATTCAGCTTACTTTTATATTTTTCCTGATCTATACTATTCTAACTTCCTGTGGACAGAAGCACACTCTTACACATAACCTTTTTTCTTAATGACATACTGTACATTCATCCCCTGCAATAGATCAAATGCTACCCACTATCTTTCTACCTGTCTGGAAAAATGACCAAAATACTTTTTTTTGGTCCTCTGTCATCTTGCTCCCAGGCATCCATTCATGTCACCTAACAGAATAATTTTTATCCAGAATACATTCATTCAGAATGTTGCGCAACATTTCCTAAAACTCAATCTCACATTTACTGGAACATAATATGCAAAAATCACCAACTATAGATCAATGTTTCTCACCCTTAGCAACTTTAAGATGAGTAGTCTTCAACTCCCAGAATGGCTGGGGAATTCTGGGAGTTGAAGTCCCCTATCATAAAGTTGCTAAGGCTGAGAAACACTGCTGTAGATTCTTACTTACATACACACCCATAAGGACGCTATATGACTTAAATTCATACTCTCTGACATACATTTTAACTTTCTCTCTCATAATTAAACTTGCATCTTCACTTTTCTGCATATCTTTTTCAACACTACACAAGATAAGCTGACTTTCATGCTGATCTTTCACATCCTTCCACTTTCTTTTAGATCAACAGACATACAATGTATATAATGCTCCTTACCATTTACTCCTCTTACTTTCCAAGTCACCATCTTTCATATGCCGTGATCATCACCAGATGGGGCCATAGAAATTGACCTCTGCAATCCTTTATGATTTTGGCCAATCGAGTCATCCCCATAAAACCTTTTAAGTAGGATAGTGAAGATGAAAACTGGATGAAGCCTTAATCCATATCCATGTCCCATGCAGCATTCCCAGCTTAGGTTAAGGGTAGTACCAGCCAGTTTGGGCACATTTTAGCCAATACACCACCAGCAATCACAGATAGCACCTCAATTTTCTCCAAGTGCCTGACAGTTCGGTCAGCCCTGGCTACTATGTTTCTGTAGCATGTTTTTGTAGTTGGCATCGTGCTTTTGCAGCAGCTACCAGTTTTTTCCTGCTCCCAAGGCCATTAAAATTGAATTTCTAATTTATTGCATTTTGGGAAATTGAAATAGGGCCAAATCTGAAGCTCCTATAGCTTAATTGACCCACTATGCACCTCTTCAACTTCAGGTAACCCTGTCTCAGTGCACTTGTCAAAGTAGCAGAAAGCTCTTATCATTGCTGTTATTCCAGTAGCACACCCATCCACTTTCTTCATCCTATGTAACACGTGCAGCCTTAATAATAAGCATTCACTTCCATCATTGCAGTAGTTTTTCCTTAAACACTGCTCTTTCTGCACAGGGTGATTCAGGTGGTCCATTGGCCTGCTGGATGGAAGGTTCCTGGTATCTTGCAGGGGTAGTCAGCTGGGGAGATGGATGTGCCCAGAAGAATCGTCCTGGAGTTTATGCAAGAGTAACATCCTACCAGCAATGGATCCACAGTCAAATACCAGAGCTGGAGCTCATAGGCACGAATACTAAAAACCATGGGTCAACAGTGAACAACAAAAATATCAGTAACAGTGCCTCTACTAGCAGTTTCAGCTTCATCTCCTTCTTTATTGCCACTATTGTTTTGCTGCTATTGTCTAAGCAGACTCTTTAATGAAGGGAGGTGATTCTTTCTCCTGGGAAGATCTTTGTGTTAATTTTATACTGTGCTTTGGAAGAAAACAGAAATTGTCAGAATTGTCAGTGAGGAAACAAAGGAGGCTTCAGTTTTTTCCTTCTTTACTGTGATGAAGAATTTACTCCAGCATGCCTTCTTTGGTGCTGATACTCATGAAATTGATAGATATCCAGAAATGGAGGAGTATTTCCATTCCCTCCTCGCTATCACTACCTCAATTTTTCATGGGCTTAATTTTCCATTCCAGGAATAGTATTTGAAGTAGCAGATTGGAACAGAGGAACCCACAACTGGGTACTTTTCCAGTTCCTGGAACAGATTCAGTAGTAGATATGGCAGCATGTATGGCATCCAATAGCCTCTGGTTATATCATGGCGTGGATTTGTTTGGTTTACGTCCATCCCCATGGTATGTTCTCCAAGCCCTGCATTTCAGACTCAGACAGCTTAATAAGTGTTTCCATTATCATCATGGCTATAATTGATATTACTACTGCCACATATGAAGACAGACTAAGTAGTGGGGAATCTCACTTCAAAACAAAGACAAAATGCAGGTTCTCACACATACATTTTGCAGCTCTAGAGGATCTGATAACTGAAGCAGGAAAAGCAACTGTCTCTTCTTCCATTGCTCTCTTTTGCACACTTTTTTCCTCATATCAACTGTTCTACCAACTCACCCTCCAATGGGCTAGCTGACCAGGCAACCTATGAACATCCCACTGATGGAGAGCCTTCTTGTGAGAGGTCCATAGCAGCTGCCTATGCAGTGCCATTCATTACATTTGTCCACCTACCTCATTTTTGCACTCCCCAGAATCCTTAGGATTTTTCCATTAAAATTTGCCAGTAAAAAACACTGAATTCTAAATTTCCTAGGAAGTATGTTGTTTATGGGTTAAAGTATAGAAGGAAAAGCAAGAAGTGAAATAGTTAGAACATAAAAGCATAAGCAGTGCCCCACTGGATCTAACCCCTGGCCCATCTAGTCCAGTAGTCTGTTCTCACAATGGCTAACCAATTGCTCAAGGAAGCCCACACTAGTCTCCCAAGAGATGGCCTTCAGAGGCAGTCACACTGCCATCAAGGCTAATAGCCATTGATCCCCATGACTTCCATGAATTCACCCAACCCCTTTTTGAAGCAGCCAAGTTGGTAGCCAGCACCACATCTCATCCTTGTTTACTATAGAACAGTGTTGTCCAAACTTGGCCACTTTAAGACGAGTGGACTTCAACTCCCAGAATTCCCCAGCCAGCAAGCCCACTCATCTTAAAGTGGCCACGTTTGGACAACACTGCTATAGAACAAAATAAATTGGGATGGAGTTTTGGTGGTTACCCCTCCCCCCCCCAAAAAACCCTGAGCAACCTGTAGCTCTCCAAATAACATGGCACAGCTACTCCCTTCGCCCCTTATCTTCAGCTTCCAGAGTAGAGCTAATGGGCATTACAATCACACTTTCTTTGAATGACAGTTTGCCCAGTCCTGCTTTAAATATGTATTTACTGTTCTCTATCTTTGAAAATGGAAGGGGAGGGTTGCTTCTTCCAAAGCAGAATTGCTGCTGGCACAAGCACTCTTAACAGGGGTATTTCATGAAGTGACTTGAAGGTTTACTAAATCCATAGTATGGTGCTACTTATTGAAGACCTAATTTATTGTTTCCAATGTACAGGGTAGATGGATTTTTCTAAGAGGTATGTTGTTTCTCAGCCAAGTTCCCCCATGTTTAATGGAGCTCCGTCTGGAACGCAGCTCGCACACATCTTTCAACTGCCTCCTTCCTTCCTTCACAATAAACTCCTTGAACTTGGACACCCAGATGGAACAAGATTTCTCTCTGATTTGAGACAGCTCTCCTGTGAGGTGACCCAAGGATATCGGAATGGGAATAATGCCACCCTGCTAGCTGTTATTACCTAATATTTTCAAATGGGGAGAGTTGAAAACAAGCTTGTGACAATCTCCTAGAAAATTTATGTTCTCTATTCTGTGTTTGTATTCACAGAAAATTAAGCTATCTTCATCATCCATCAGCAGAACTTCAATACCCGCCCCTTCTCATTCCCTCACTCTTTCTCTTTCATTCAAGCCAACCAATGCACTTTACAGTCTTACAATAGGAGTCATTAATCTTCAGATTTGGGTCTGACGGCAGTTTCTGGGTGTAAAGTTGAAACTGGTCTAACAGGATGAAACTCAATGGCTATGCATGACTCTTCTGCCATTTTTCAAGGCAAAACCATTTATCTGAAGCTACTGCTGACTACTCTAGACTGTGACTTATGAGTAATATCTACCACTCTTCCATAATTTGTGGGCCTTGGTAAATGACACTTTTAAATCACTGATCTTCGCTCCCAAGGGCAGGTCATCGTTTCATCCAGACTTGTTTCTGTCAGCCTCTAAGTGGTGGAAAGAGGATAATGCTGATATTGTCATATTCCCTGAAGGAGCAAGGCTGGAATTTGTGGCCCTCTTATTTGTATTTTGGGATTCAAGGAACATTTGTAAAATATCTATCAGAAGCTTAAAGTTTTACTGAGGGAGGGAGGGAGTTGTACTGTCAAAAGTTAGTGATCTATCATCAAATTTCAGCATTGCTACCTTCAGGGCTCTGACAGCACACAAAGGGACTGATCTACATTCACAATGTGGACTGTGGGCTGCTCATCCCAAGCTGATATAAACATTGAATAGATTTTATGAATCATTCCAAATGTTTTTACAAACAAAAATAACATCAACGCTTCCAGTCAGCAGTGTTTAACCCTCTTCCTTCATGGGTTGTGTTTGCATGACACACCAAACCCAAATGTCTAGTTAACAAATGTCCCTTTAGTCAAAAATTGATGCTTATGGTACCATTTCATCCCAGTATTATATTCTGGATTTGCGAATGCTGAAGTTTAGTTGAGTTACATTGTTTGGTTTGCATCTACTTGGAGTTCAGATGACATCGTAACCTTAAATTTTGGTTGAAAAACTGCACGTGATGGGGAGAAGGGAAATAAAACGTCAGTGCACACTCATTCATTCATCAGACTTTGGGACTTGGAATGTCTTGTTTGCTCAAAAACCTGCTTTAGATGCCTTCCCATCTCCAGCTGTGGTGAAGAAAAATCCTTTGCTGATCTGAAAAGCTATCTAGGATAGTACTTGGAACGGGGGCTACCAGGAAGTCCCAGAGTTGTTGGCTAAACTGGGAAATTAGAAAGAAATCCCAGAAGGAAATAGCAAGCCATTTCCATAACCCTACCAAGAAATTTGCACATATCTAGTTACAAAGTAGTGATTTATTTTCTTCACAAAGAAATTGAAAACATAAATACATCCTTCTTCTCTACAGCAGGAACCATCAAACTTGGCAAAACCCCTGTTCATATGCACTATCCCACCAAAAGCAAATTTTATTTCTCCCCAAACCCCACACAGATGTCTTTTAGTGAGAAGAAAAACATGTACCTAAAATATTTAGCAGTTAATCAAAGGTCCAACAAGTTCTGGGTTCTGTGGTTCTTTGTAGCACTTTTTCCAGTTGTTATTTAAATTATTCCTAACAAAGATATTATATAAAGAGGAAATGAGCAAAATCTCCTTCCAATCCCAGGCAGATTTTAAAAAGTATTCTCCACCCAACCCTCTTTCTAATTCACATACAACCACATATTTTCCAATATTTCTAATTCTCCCAGAGAGATGACATTGGTGTTGCCAACTAAAAGCCGTGAGGATCTACTACATTTTTTCTCCTTCTTAATGGAGTATTTGGGAAAAGAAAAAATGGGGAAATGCAGGAAGATAACCAAAAGCACCTCCCTGTCTGCATTTCCAAATGATATGACCTACCATTCTACAACTTCAGGATCCTACCATCTCATTCAACTGTACAGGTAGACCAGGCCTAAGGTGAAGTCAGAGGTAGACAATGTGGCAAGTTGAGATTCCTCAGATGTTGAGCTCTGGTTTGCTACTAGAACATGATTTTATTTAGCTCTTTCACCACACCACTTCCCTCACCATTTCAAATTCAGAAAACAAGCTGTTGGATTACAGCAGTGCCAACCAAATGCTACCCAGAAACCTCTTTGGAAGTTCAATATGACTTTAAGTCCTTTTCTTGAATAGGATGGCTTTTCCCTTTCCTCTTTTCCTGTTCAAAGAAGCTCTTGAAAAAAAGCAGCATAATGGCAGAGTCTTACTATATATATTCATAAATTTACATGAATAGCACCTTTGGGGAACAAGCATGAGAGCCCTTGTTCTCCTTCAGGAAGGGAGACGAACAGAGCAAAATGAAGAAGTCTGACTCCTTCACCAGTAAAATATCTCTCCCAGGCCTCCAATGCCCTAGAAATCCATAATACCCTATGGTCGTACTTGACAGAACATGAAATGCTCCAGAACTTTTCAGAATCCATTCATTTGGGAGAACTAGGTTTCTAACACGGCATCAAGGATAGAAACTGCTGGTGTTTCCATAAACTTGACATAGTCATTTTTTAGTGGAAAGTGCTGCTTTCACAGGGAGACTTTGGTTATGATTTTTTCCCATAAAATTTCAACTTGGTAAGTAAAAGCACCAGAACTTCCTATTCCCACTCTGTCTCAGAAGATGATGATGATGAAGCAGGAGATCAGAAGCAGGAGGAAGAAACTGAAATTTTTGAGGACTCGGCTTGAGGCAGATCGAGGTGGAGCAACTCGGTAATAAGTGACATTCACAATACCGAATTGCAACCCAAGAAAGTTACTCTGAATCCAGTCTTGATAGAAACCAACACGGGTGTAGACTCCTGGGCGGTTGGGGAGGCCACACATGTCACCCCAGCTCACAATGCCTGCCACAAACCAGGCACCATCCTCTTGGCAGACCAATGGACCTCCGGAGTCACCCTGGTTGAGAAAAGTAAGCAGTAAGAGTCTATGTTATCCCTCTGTCTGTAACACAGTTTGTTTCTGTTCCCTTTTATGCACAGCCTGGAACCAGCATGAAAACGCTATAATGCTATACCTTTCCCAAACCGAACCATCTCTCTGGTGGATTCTCTGCCAGGAGAAACTAATAAAGAGAATATTGGGGAAACAGTATAGTACATTTCCCATATTGCCTACAAGGTTATGAAGACTGCTTTCCCCTCAGCTCTGGAGAAACCACAATGGAAACCTATTAGCAATCAAGGGAGAGGACCTAAATAAAGCTGAACTAAAGTTCCTATTGGAGAACACCATTAGCAAATTCTTGTTCTACTCTTAATACATTTGTTAAAATGCTAATTCTGGTACTTCCTGGAATGGCCATGTGTCTCATGACAACACAGAGCCACACAGCCATTCCAGGAAGTGCAATAAAGAAGCAGTAATCTCTGCTGAGAATCCCATAGTACTATGAGAAAAGAAAGAAAAATCCAAGAACTTCATCCACCTCAAAGGTAAGTGCAGCCCCCTCTGTCTCAAAAAGGATTTTACATCATGATAAATAGGACTCGTTGGCTTAGGCATTTCAGCTCACTCTTAGAATCTTCCCATTGTTGAGTGTTCCCTACAAATGCCATTCCATACTACATCCATTAGCATCCTTTCTTACCAAGCAAGCATCTTTTTTTCCCTCAGCATAGCCAGCACAGAACATGTCATCCTGGATCTCTCTGGTAGTGGGACTGATATTCGTACCAATGTGAAAAAGGGCATCACAGGTCATGGTGTCTATCAATGGCAACTGGATCTGCTGCAATGTTTTGAGACCTCCCAGGGTGGCTTGAAGAAAAAAACACATTATTATTGTTACAGTTATTATTACAATGATATACAGTATATCCTGCCTTCAGTATAACTGTCTTCCCAAAGAGGTATACATGGAAGTAAAAATACAATAAGTACCATTTAAAAGAAAACAAAAGATAGTTCTAGAATCCTTTCCATAGGATGCTTAGTGGTAATTATATTGTCATTGTACTGTCTGTATAGGACAATACAGCTGAGCAAGTTTCTGTAGTGAAAGACATCTTTCCCACAGGATGGCAAATAATCAAAAACAAATATAAGAAATTAAGCGGGTTACAATAAGTGACATGTTGCCAATGCTCTTTCCATTTCAAAGAACGGCCACCTCACCACCTCACCAAACTGCCACCTTTCAGATCAAAAGCATCTACAGGATCCACCACTTTCATCAAAATGAGAAAAGCAGTGTTGCTTATCATGATGAAAATTCTGGCCCTTTTGTATATGTAGGCAACATCACAATACAGTACACTCTATCATGTGCAATGCTACTTTTGTCATTTGGCCTCCTTTGCCCTCCTGCGGGCATCTTTTCACATTCTTGCCACTAATTTAACCTTTATTTCGGAGCTTTATCATATGTAAGGACTCCACTTGGTCTTTAAACAGCATAACAAGGGCATCCCCCAGCCATAGAGTGAGTAGAGCCACAACCCCCCCCCCCCTCAATTTAATGTCATTTATTTGCATTTTAAGTATTAATCAAGCTAAAGATAGCTAAATTTAGTTGATCTCCAAAAAGTAAGCAGGGTCAGACCTGTCTAGTACTCCCATGGAAAACACTAGGAAATCTCAGGTGTATAGATTAGACCAGTGTTTCTCAATCTTGGCAATATTAAGATGTGTGGACTTCAATTCCCAGAATTCCCCAGCCAGGGAATTCTGGGAGTTGAAGTTCACTATCTTAAAGTTGGAACGGTTGAGAAACAGTGGGCTAGGCTAAGAAATTTTTATTGTTGCTAAGAAAGGGACATGGACATGCCCCTCTATTTTTTTACTTTAGTTCATTGCTTTAATATATAGAAAATAGAAGATATCCTAATCAAAAACAAACAGAAACAAGAAAACAAAACAACAGCAAAAATGTGTAATATATTGTAATATATATAAAGAGCTCCATTTTAAACCTTAATGTTGAAATACTGGTCAGTTTTTCCATTACATCAATAAAGAACCAGTTCATAAGCAGGATAATAAACACATAACACCAATCCAAGAATATAAATCCAGGATAGTACAGTCTGTCATTGTAAACAAATAATATTTTTGGGTTTGCCCCAGGCTTTTTTAATCCATAACACTTCATACAGTGATCAATTCCAAATGTGGGATGTATTATTTAAAATTACAGTACTTAATACTCTTTCCAAAACTCTATTAAACAAGTCATGAACATTAAACCAAAATAGAGTGAGAATGGGGCAAGGCCTCTTTCTCCTCTATCATTTTACACCTCTGGCATAATGAATTTGACAACTCTTTTTAAAGATTGTCAGAAGCAGCCAATAAACATAAACAAAATATTTTGTTGAATTAATTTCATCTTAAGAGTACAAGAAACATACTTAACATTCTTTACGTCCCTTAACTACTGACTTGTAATATGGGGTATATTCCAACTCTTTACTCCAAAGTTCTTGCAAATAACTAATATCCCTCTTAACAATACAGTACTCTTTAACTGTCCACAAAAAAAAAAGTAAATTTGAAATCACCCAAAACACATTTCAGTGGCAATAGTAATTCAGGCATTTTAGATCCTGCTAATGCATTTAGTCCAAATTGTGAAATGAAAAGATGTGCTGACTATGTTGCTATGCTGCAGTTTTAGACAATCTGAATTACAACAACTCAATGGTTTAAAAACTTGACTGGCAATTAAATTACCTAAAATATTAATACCTCTATTAGCCCATTAAGTAGTTACTAGGAACTGAGTTCAACTCAAGGAATCCTTTACATTAACTATGGTCATATCTGTGT